CTCAGCGGCAAAGCGCCTGCCTGGCAAGCGCAAGGTCGTGAGTTCAGTTCCCGGCACCGGAGAAAAACCAAAACCAAAAAAAAAAAAAAAAAAAAAAGGGAGCAAGAGATAGAATTTATGAGTCAGTTTTTTTTTGTTAGTTTCTTATAAAAGTTTGTGTCTAATCTGATAAAGTTTTAGAATGGGATCTTTGTGCCATTGTCCTTACTTTTATGCCACTGATTAGTTTTAAATTATAGTTTCTTGTCTGTTTATGTGATTTTTATCTCTCTTCCCACTGGAATGTAAGTTCCATGAAGGCAATGGACTTTGTTTTGCTCACTATTATATTGCTTAGATTTAGAATAATCTTTAGTCTACTTCTACATAATAGTTGAACATTTATATAAAGAATATGCCTGAGAAGCATTTGTTGAATCAGTAGCTATTAAGATAATTAAGGGGACAGTTGGGAATTAGCTAGGAATGGTCTCTTCAAGAGAGAGTATTTTAATTGATCTTAAGAAAACTAATTTGATTTTTCTTAGTTTGACCAAGGACATGACTGGAAAGGAAGATGTGTACCGAGGCCCGGCCATCAGGGCACTCTGCAGAATCACAGATGTAAGTTCTCTTTGTTTTACTGAGCTACCAAAGGGGACATTCTGATTTTATAGGATTCTCTAGTCTGACTTTGTGACTCTCCAGTGTAAGAGAAACATGACCACGATAAAGGCTTTTGTGGCTCTAGCCTTATCTTCTTTCAGGTTATTTTCTTTTGTCTATTTAGAGTAATGTGTTTTCTCACTATACAGTATTTGCTATCTTGAACTATAATAGGGCACATTGCTTATAGCAAATAAAAACCCATTCCAATTTGGCTTAAACATTTGTTAAAATTATAGTACACAAGTCACTCAGAATTTGATATAGAGCTTATAACCAGTTACCAGAGCAAGAAATAGGAGAGATCTAGGGAATTTAGCAGCAAGATTTTTTGATATTTACTGTGGTTATCCATGATTTTCCTGGACTTAGGTCCCTTGTTCAGATTCTTAAGGGACAGAATTTCCTTATTTACTAGTAACCAGTAGCTTATGTTCACCTGGATCTGAGTCAGATTTCTAATCTGATACAGTCTGTCAGATCTAGAGTGGTGAGTTCATTTAGTATGTTCCAGGTACTTTGAGTAGGAAAGGTTGAATTGAAAAGCAGGTCAGCATTGCCAAGCAAGTTGAATAATAGCTATATACCCATGTTTGGGTGTATCTTATATGTATATTTGCAGCCTTCTTAAGTTTTAAAGTTTGGGCCAAATCAAATTGTAAGTTTGGCAAATTTGAATCCTGAAAGAAATTTTTTTTGTCCTATTGTTTTGTTATGGTTGTTTCTAGCTTTAATTGGTAATATAAAGGGTAGACCATGCCAGAGATAGCAATAAAACTCTTTTTATTTGAATATTGATCCTAATCTGTTTACGAATCTTTATCTGCCACCACCTTTCCAGTCCTAAGTTTTTTCATAGTTAAAGCAATAAAGACTTTTATTTCCATAAGATTTTGTGCTGAGGGCTTGCTCTAGTGAGATTTTGAGGATTAGCTAAGGTTGGACTTCTCTGAAGAGAACATTTGTATGTCTAAGATAATCATGGATTATGTTTAATTTATAGGATTATCTTGTATCTATATATCTATACCCTTCATATAGAGGTATTTTCAGGACTTCAGAAATAGCCTCCACACTCAGGAAGGAGTGAGGCACTTAGCAAATCCTTAACTCAAAGTTTAAAAATTTTAAAAAAGAAGTTGGGGGTGTAGCCTCCATCCCTATACAAGAATTTGTTTATAACATCTCTTTTTCAGAGATTTAGCTTCTACTTGTATATTTCCTTCAAGCTAGAATTCTCCACTTTGAGAGTGTATTTCATTATTGAACAGTTAAACTTTATTATGTAATAATCTTAAATGTTCTTTTTTGAAACTTCCACTGTGTTATTTGGGTTCTGCACCCTGGGATATTATACTATATTATATATACTATACTATAATTATTATATAATTATAGTATTATTATATAATATTATACTGTTATATAATAATCCTTTTAATATTCTAAATATTTGCACATAAATATATGACTGATTTTTGTAAATTGCTTTGAAGTGGTAATTTTGTGTGACTGTTTTTTCAATCCCTTTTTCTTTTTGAATATTATTAGGGAACAATGTTACAAGCCATTGAAAGATACATGAAGCAGGCCATTGTGGATAAAGTCTCCAGTGTATCCAGTTCAGCACTGGTATCTTCCTTAGTAAGTCAGCAGCCAGTTTTCTAGTTCTTATACATGGTACATTTCCTAGTTATAAAAACAAGGTATCATAGTTTTAAAATACGTATACATTTCAGTTACTTTATTCAGATAAGTTTTAGCAGGTAAAATGGACAATGAAATGGTAAAATTTCATGTTTGAAAGACTTTGGGAATCTCAAAGTTGTGCATATAATTGGGATGAGTTGAAGTAGAGGACAGGGAAGAAACTAAGAGCCATTCCTTGAAAAATTTTCTTCTATGACCTGTGCTTTACCTCTTGCCTCTGTCTTTTCTTGATGCCCTCTATCTGCATGTGTCTTTCAATTTAGTTTCCTGTTTTACTTCTTAAATTCCTTGGAACTGGTCTTTGTTTTTAATAGTAGCTTTTCGTTATCCTTTTCATTAAAACAAAGTGTACTCATTAAAGATGTGTTACACTACATTTGATGAAAATCAGTAATGAATGTGTGAATGTATTAAAATCTCTGAATTCCCATGCTGCCATTGCAGTCTGCCTCTGGGCCCTGCATGTACCCTATGCTGCCTGAGAACACTGGACTAGGCAGCCTGTGATCACACCACCATTGCAGTGCACATCTGGGTTCTATATACACCTTCAGCTGCCTGGGGACACTGGACCAGGCGGTCCACAATCCACTGCCATCACGGTTCGTGTGTGAGACCTGGGAAAACTGGGTACACTCCACCAACTGCCTGTGACCCTGGACTGAGCAGCCCATCTCCATGGCCACTGAGGGTCAACTCTGACCACCAGGAAAACTAGGGATGCTAGGGACCTTTGGTGAGCTGCCAGGGAAGAGTGACACTGGGAGCTCTGCCACTGGCATCAGAAATGTCAAGACAAGGACTAAAATGCAATCTTAGAACTCCACCTCAGAACAAGTCTAGGAGACACTGACATAGAAGAACTTGGTAATCACATACCTGAAATCGTTGAAATGGATTGCAGTGGAAGTAAAGAAACAACTCCATCAGGCCATAGAGGAAATCAGATCAGAAATAATCTCTCAGGTAAAAACTGAAATGACAACAATAATGAAAGAATTGCTCACCACATCTAAAGAAGACATACATAAGAAAATAGATGAACATAGGAAACTGATGGAAACATTAAATGAACAATACAGAAAAGAACTAGAATGCATGAAATAGATTCAAAGAGATACCCAGGAAATCAAAACTTCCATCAAAAGCTGGCAAAACTGCTTGAATGAAGCCAAAGATAGAATTTCAGATCTTGGGGGATAGCATTACAGCTAATGATTGGGAAAAGAAGGACCTCTTAAAATTAACAAGGAACCAGGAAAAATCAATTCAACAGCTGCAGGACGATGCAAAGGGAAATAATGTAAGACTAATAGGTGTCAACAAAACAGCAAGTGGCAACACAAGGACATAAAAAGAATATTTGCAGTAGTAATAGCAAAAAATTACCCATGCATGGAAAAAGAATCTGATATACAGGTAAGTGAAGCATGTAGACCTCCAACTAGTCATAACCAAAATAAAACTACATCCAGACATATAATAATCAAGATCCCAGATACCCAGCAAAAGAACAGGATATTAAAAGTCCTTAGAGAAAAGAAACAGATCACCTTTAAAGGAAAGCCCATCAGAATCATGGCACATTTCTCAACACAAACTATCCAGTCAAGAAGAGCTTGGAGTGAAGTATTACAGGTCCTGAGACAAAACAGCTTCCAACCAAGACTGATGTATCCTGCAAAACTATCCTTCAAATTTAATGGAGAAATAAAATATTTCCACAACGAAGAGCAACTGAAGAACTTTATGAGCCCCCAACCAACCCTACAAAGAGTACTAAAAGATATTCTAGAAAGAGATAAAAATGACCACAATTTCAAGAACAACAATAGAAAGGAACCCCCAAGCAGAGCAAGCAGTTAAATAGAGAGAAAAATTAGAACACCAACAGCAAGTAAATAATATGGCAAAGATGAGCCAACACATATCAGCTGTAACCATTAATGTAAATGGCCTCAGTTCACCAATCAAAAGAAACAGACTAGCAGAGTGCATCAAGAAACAAAATCCAACAAAATGCTGTATACAGGAAGTATATTTAACTCAAGAGGAAATTCATAGACTGAAAACAATCAAAAGAGAGAAAGAAGGTCACTATATTCTTGATAAGGGAAAACTGCAAGAGGAAGAGATAAGAATCATAAACATGTGCGACAAATATTGGAGTGCCCAACTGTAAAAGACAAATCTTAATAGACATGAAAAACGAAATAACTAATAACACTATTGTAATAGGGTACCTAAACACCCTATTGACACAAAGAGATAGGTTAACTAGACGAAAAGTCAGCAAAGAAATAACAGATCTGAACCAAATCTGCAAACAAATGGACTTAGTAGATGTTTACAGTGTTGCACCTCACAACATCAGAGTACACATTCTTCTCAGCTGCACAGGGGACATTCTCTAAAATAGACCACATTCTAATCCATAGAGCATGCTTAACTAAATGCTAAAGAATTGAAATTATCCCATGCATATTATCCGACCATAGTGCAATAAAATTGGAAATTAATGACAAAAACAACCATAAACTCCATAAATACATGGAAATTAAATAACAACCTCCTGAACAACCCAATGGGTCACAGGTGAAATTAAAGAAGAAATTAAACAATACCTACACACAAATGAAAACATAAATACAACTTACCAGAATGTGAAATACTCTGAAAGCAGTGAAATACCCTGAAAGCAGGGAAATTTATAGTGGTGAACTTACACATCAGGAAAACAGAAAGAGAACAAATAAATAGCTTAATGCTCAAACTTTTAGAAAAGAGCAAGTCAAGCCCAAAACCCAAAGAAGGGAGGAGATTATAAAGATCACAGCAGAAATTAATGCAATTGAGATGAAGAAAACTCCACAAAAAATTAGTGCATCAAACAGTTGGTTCTTTGAAAGACTAAATGAAATGGATAAACCCCTAGCCAACCTTACCAAAAAAAAGAAAAGAAAAAACTCAAATTTGTGCAATAAAGAATGAAAAGGATGAAATCACTACAGATCCTATAAAGAATCAAAAGATAATTAATACCTACTTTGAAAATCTTTACTCCCATAGGATAGAAAACTCAGAAGAAATGGGCAGATTCCTAGATATGTACAAATTACCAGTGTTGAATCAAGAAGATATAAAAACCATGAATAACCCAATATCAATTAAGGAGATTGAAAACGTGATTAAAAACTTACCAACAAAGAAAAGCCCAGGTCCTGATGGATTCACAGCGGGATTCTACAAGAAATTTAGAGAAGATTTAAAGCATATACTCCTTAAACTCTTCAATGAAATTGGAAAGGAAGCAATTCTCCCTAACTCATTTCTGGAGGCAAGTATTATAATGATACCAAAACCAGAGAAAGACCCAACTAAGAAAGAGAACTACAGGCCAATCTCCCTAATGAACATAGATGCAAAGATATTCAGTAAAATACTACCAAACAGAATGCAGCAAATCATTAAGAAAATCATACACCATGACCAAATGGGATTCATCCCAGGAATGCAGGAATGGTTCAATATAAGGAAATCAATAAATATAATATACTATATCAATAGAGCCAAAGGCAAGAACCACATGATCATCTCAGTAGAGGCAGAAAAAGCTTTTGACAAAGTCCAACACTCATTCATGATAAAAACCCTACAGAAAATAGGAATAGATGGTCTTTACCTCAAGCTGATCAAAGCCATCTATGATAAACCAACAACAACATCATACTAAATGGACAAAAACTAAAAACCTTCACTTTAAAATCAGGAACAAGAATGTCCACTGTCACCACTCCAATTCAACATAGTTCTGGAAACATTAGCCAGAGCAATTAGACAAGAGAGAGAAATAAAAGGAATAAAGATAGGAAAGGAAGAAGTTAAATTATCATTATTCACAGATGACAAGATACTCTACGTGGAAGACCCCAAAAAGTTCACCAAAAGACTTCTAGAATTAATTCAGTAGTGTATCTGAATGGAAAATCAATACTCAAAAATCAATAGCATTCCTGTACACAAACAACAAACACAGAGAGAAAGTAAGGAAACCATACCTTTCACAGTAGCATCCAAAAAAATGAAATATTTAGGAATCTAACAAAAGAAGTAAAAGGTCTATACAGTGAAAATTACAATACTGTGAAAAAAGAGATCAAAGTGGATTTCAGAAAATGGAAAGATATCCCTTTCTTACGGATAGGAAGAACCAACATTGTGAAAATAGCCATAATACCAAAATTGTTGTACAGATTCAGTGCAGGGCTGGGGATATAACTCAGTGGCACAAGTACCTGCCTGGTAAGTGCAAGGTCCTGAGTTCAATTCCTGGTACCAAAAAAAAAACCAAAAAACAAACAGATTCAATGCAATTCCAATTAAAATACCATTAGCATACCCCACAGATCTAGAGAAAACATTCCTAAAATTCATCTGAAACCAGAAGAGACCCAGAATAGCAAAGCAGTCCTGGGCAACAAAGACAAGGCAGAAGACATCACAATCTCTGACTTGAAATTATAATACAAAGCTCCTATGATAAAATCAGCATGATCCTGGCTAAAAAAACAGACATGAGGATCAGTGGAACAGACTGGAAAAAGCAGTGACAACCACAAACATACTCAGCCACCTGATCTTTGACAAAGGGGCCAAACAAGTTCACTTGAAGAAAGATAGCCTCTTTAATAAATGGTGCTGAAAAAACTGGCTTTCCATGAACTGAAGAATAAAACTAGACCCATGCCTATCTCTGTGCATCAAACTCAAGTCAAAATGGATCACAGGTCTAAATATTAAAACAGAAACAGTAAATCTACTGGAAGAGAAAGCAGGTAAAAATCTTGAAGACATAGGGGTAGGCAGAGAGTTCATGAACAAAAATCAAACTGCATGGGAAATACTCAAAAGAATCAACAACTGGGATCTCATCTTATTGAAAAGTTTTTGCATGTCTAAAAAAACCACTAACAGAATAAAAAGAAAACCCACATACTGGGAAAAAATTTTAGCCACCTGTCCCTCAGACAAAGGACTTCTTTGTAGAACATACAAAGTATTTTTTAAAAATCGACCCTTCCATATTCAAAGATCCAATCCAAAAAATGGACATCTGAGATGGATATACCCTTCTCAAAGAAATACAAATGGCAAATAAATACATGAAAAGTGTTCAACATCATTAGTCATTTGAGAAATGCAAACTAAAACAACACTGAGATTTCACCTCACCCTGGAAAGAATGGCTGTCATCAAGAAATCAACCAATAACAAATGCTGGAGGGACTGTGGGGGAAAAGGAACCTTTTTCCACTGTTGGTGGGAGTGTAGACTGGTGAAACCACTGTGGAAATCAATCTGGAGATTCCTCAGTAAACTAGGATTAGAGGTCCCATTCAATCCAGCTATTCCCCTCTGGGTGTTTTTCCAGAAGAACTGAAAACATCCTATCACAGTGATATATGTACACCCATGCTTGTAGCAGCACAATTTGTAATAGCTAAACCGTGGAAGCAACCCAAATGCCCATCAACTGAGGAATGGATAAAAAAGTTGTGGTATTTTTATATAATGAAGTATTACTCAGCTATAGAGAAAGATAAAACTCGGGGCTTTTTTAAGTAAATGGTCACAACTAGAGACCATACTCATAAGTGAAATAAATCACACCTGTATGTGTAAACATGGTATTGTGTCACTAGTGTGAGAATCTGAGTGAGTAAATGAAGTCTGAGGGGTGCAATTGATATTTTGAAGGGGAAGGAAATTTCTCAAGTTGGGGAGCAGCTGGGATGAGGGAAAAGAGAAAAGAAAGAAATGAGGGAAAAAATATGGATGTAAGTATACACAGAATAGCTAAGATAGTTATACTACTGATTTCTATTACTTTATTGAGAGGAATAGTTAATGTTTAATTGTTTGATCAATCTTGTATGCCTATATTTATCTGAGTAACCCATTTGAACATACCAATATGTAATATAGCCAGCATTGTTAATTTCCTTGTCTGAAAATATGTGTCGCTTGTATTGTTTTTGTGTTATTTTGTAAATGTCTGTGTGTCTGTTAATATGTTTTCTTTCTTTTATCTTTAAAATAAAAAAAAATCTGAATCACAAGATTTTCTGATTCGGGAATGTCACTGGTTGGTTTTTACAGCAGGGGATATATTGTGCTGTTTCTTTCTTCAAAGGGCTTTCCTGGAACAGTATTTAAACACCATTCTGTTAACTACCCATCCCCTTCCTCTTTGCCATACATTACTTTTATACACACCTTCCAGCTCACCAACATATTTTAACCATTCAAAGAGGTACTGAAGGAAATGTTTCTGGTTTATCAGTAATGGAGACATGAAGTAGACTTATTTAGTGTGGTGGATTATGGTCAACTTATAACATTCAGCTGAACAGAGTCAGTGTGGTGTGGGGAGTGGAAGGCCTACTTGAGGATTGTTGCCAGCAGCATAGAAAGAGAGCTGTAGAGGAAGCTTTATGCTGTTGATTCTCCTGGAGAAGAAGCTTGTCATGCTGGCTGTCCTGATATGAACTCAGCTGTTCTTGTCATCAGAGGAGCTTGGGACCTCACTGTTACTGAGGATGGCTGCAGTTCTTTTAGGCAGAGCTCTGGTCCTTATTGTGGCATTGCTTCCTGGCTGCAGTGCAGATCCCTCAGCCTGCTGGCACAGATCCTTTTTCCTGTTAGCACAGACTTTCTAGCTTCCACCAGGGACCTATGGGCCCTCCCAGTGCAGATCCTTGAAACAGACTTGCACAAGACATTGTTGTGGGCTCTAGGCCTCCAGTTTCATCCACATTGCCATGGGTCTTCAGCTGCACTCATGCAGGACATTATCATGGAATCCAGGCCCTCAGCTGGACTCTTGAGTCTGTACTGTGTGAACAGATCTCCCACACTCTTCTGCATTTGACTCTTTGTATGAATATTATAAAATAATCCTATAAATTGTGTGTCTGGTATTAAATCTTTTCCCTTATAAACCCTGATTACAACATTTCGCTATAAAATTTTCTGCCTTGAAAATGTCTAATGTAATTTTGCAAGAAAATTAACTCATGTTTCTAAACTTCTAGTGCTCAGACATTATTCTCTTTTGCCCTCATATTTAGCATATGATGAAGATAAGCTATGATGTGGTTAAACGCTGGATAAATGAAGCCCAAGAAGCTGCATCAAGTGACAATATTATGGTCCAGGTAATGTCACTGAATCACATGAGCCTGTGTCTCCAGATTTGCTTTCTTTAAGGGGAGCATATTAATTTCCCAATAGTGACTAAAGGCAAATTGTTTGGCATGTAAATAGCCTATCAGTGCATATTCTCAAGTAGTTATCTCACTAATGACTATTGTCATAGACCCTTTGAGTGTTTAGTAGAAGATAGATAGCCTTCAGTAAAAGGTAGATAACCTTCCCGCAGGAGTGTTCAGTAAAGGTTCTTATGCTCAGTAATAGATTGAAATGTTCATTCCAAAGGTCCTTCAAAATGTAGGCTTTTATATGAAAAGTAATTTGTGTAAAAAGATAAGAGTACTTAATTCCAGGTTTCTCAGGATTTGAGTGTAGACATCATCAAAATAATAAAGAACAGTTTTTACTTTGTATAACTTTGAAATCATTTTATCAAAAAGATCTCTTTATAATAATTATTAGGCTATTTCTTATTTAAAAAAAAAAACAAGGTTATGTTTTTTTTCTTTCTGATACTGGGGATTGAACCAAGGACCTCACACATACTAGGCAATCACTCCAGCACTAAGCTTCCTCAGCTTTTTATTCATTTTTAAATTTTGACACAGAGTTTTGCCAAGTTGCCCAGGCTGGCCTTGATCTTGTGATTTTCTTGCTTTAGCCTTCCAAGTAGCTGGAATTATAGATCCCAGCAAGATTATATTCTTGACTGCTAATCTTGCATTGCAGTGGCAAGCAAAAGCACCAAAATGACACCCAGGGTTTGGAGGGCACTGGTTGGGATCATTCCAAAAATATCTGGCCCTGATCTCTGGTGGTCTAGGCTTATATGGTATAAGCAGTCAGGAAGTACAGAGGCAGAATGGCTTGTCCATTTTGGGTTGGTTCTTATAATATGCAATATAGTGATCAGCTATGCATCACTAGGGCTTATATGGTATAAGCAGTCAGGAAGTACAGAGGCAGAATGGCTTGTCCATTTTGGGTTGGTTCTTATAATATGCAATATGGTGACCAGCTGAGACAGAAGGAGCTGGAACTGCAACAAGAACTATTTCTTGGGCAACTAAGAAACTGAAGTATACTGGCTGGGGGGCATTTTCTGTTACAACATAAAATACTTCTTGTGTATTTGAGAGGATATTTATTTATGGCTTTTTAATGTTTATATTTTCTCAAATTAGCAAATTTAATTATAAGGAAACAGAGTAGAACTCTTCCCTTGGACACTGTCACTGTCTTAACACTATTATGTTTTTATACAGTGTCATGGTAATACTCTGATAACCTACTTTAGGAGATTAATCCTGTAACTCCTAAGGTGGTCACACAAGATTTAAAGCCACTAAAAGAGACTGTAACCAGGCATGGTGGTGCATACCTGTAGTCAAAGCCCTTGGAAGATTGAGGCGGGAGAATCATTTGAGCCCATGAGTTCAGCACTGGTCTAGGTAACATAAGAAGAGCCTGTCTCAAAATAAATATGAAGGAATGAGACAAGCGACACTGGTAAAGCCTTGGATTAGAGTATGTGAGGGCCAGTGTGTTGAACCTGCCAGAGCCATCTTCAGGTTGTACCTCATCTCTTTTGTACTTGTCCAGTCTGAATTTACAACTTCTGGGATAAATTATAACTACTTATCACCTTAGTCTTAACTGTGTTTAGTTCAGTATGAAAAATAGGTCTCCGATCTGTATCCATTTGAGTTGGATTTCTTTTTATGAAACATCTTTTATCGAGTTCCATGTTATTCTATTATTCTATGTTCTTATAAGTTTTTCATCACTTTTCTAGTCCATGTGCCATGTTCCTTTTCTTGTTTTTCAGTATCATGCTTTGGGAGTCCTGTATCACCTTCGAAAGAATGATCGTCTTGCTGTTTCCAAAATGTTAAATAAGTTTACTAAATCTGGTCTCAAGTCACAGTTTGCTTACTGCATGCTGATCAGAATTGCTAGTCGTTTGCTAAAAGAAACTGAGGATGGGTAAGTATCTTCACCTTAATTATTTTCCATTTGCAAGTTAATACACCTCTGAGTTGAAGTGAATTCTTACTCATAAATATTTATGAATATTTTTAGGGCAATGCCAACTTTACAGAGCAGTTTTGTTTTGTTCTGTTTTGTTTTGTTTTGAGACTGGGTTTCACTTTGCAATTCAGGCTGGTCTTGAACTCACTTTGTAGCCCAGGCTGGCCACAAACTCACAGTGATCCTCCTGCCTCAGTCTCCCGAGTACTGTGATTATAGGTGTGTGCCAACAGTTTTGATATTTTCCAAATTAAATTATTATGTGATTCCAAGTAACACAGTTTAAAAGTAGGTAGGTATTGTATATACACCTAATAGGATATAATTGCTGATAATATATTGACTGACTACTATTAAACGAAAAATACTTTCAGATCATCAGGCAGGTAATTAAATATGAAAAGTGGAAAAAGAATTAAGAATCATCTTGTGTAACCTAAAATCTAAAACAAATCAGAAAATTATGTGCAGTATATAATAGAGCAGAAAAACTTTCTCAGGGGTGAAAATTTAAAAGGAATAAGAGAAAAAGTAGAGAAATAAAAGAAGCGAAAGAGTTTAGAGCTTTAAAAAACTGGTGTGAAGAAGATAGGAGGGAAAAACCAAAATAAGAACTAACGAAAACAAAAACTAAAAACAATGTTCACACTCATGAGAAAACCAAAAATAAATAATAAAGAAAAAAAGAAAGTTTTCTGTGATTTTGGAATCAAGGTAATACTAGCTTCCAAGAATGACCTTAGGAGTACTTCTTCACTTTTAATTTCATCAAAGAGTTTGGTTCGTATTGGGAGTAGATCTTCCTGAAGTTCTTAAAGATTTGGCGGTGAGTCCATCCATCATGTCCTGGGATTTTATTAGTTAGTAGGTTTTCTATTACTTCTGCAATTTTATTGCCTGTTATTGGATTATTCACAATTTTTAAATCATCTTGGTTCTGTTTTTGTAATTCTTATGTATCTAGGGACCTCTCCATTTCTAGTAAGTTCTCCAGTTCATTGTGAAATAACTGGTAATACTTTTAGATTTAGGTAGTGCCTATGTGATTTCACCTTTTTCATCTGTGATTGTGCTGATTTAGGTGTTTTAGTTTGGTTTTTTGTTCATTCTTTCAAAGAATCAACTTGTCACTTTATTCTTCATATTAGCTTTCATTGATTTCTGCTCTGATCTTTATAATCTCCTTCCTTGTACTAGCTCTGGATTTGGATTGTTGTTTTTCTATGACCTTGAGGTATATTGTTGTTGATGTTTTTGTGTTGTTTTAGTAGCAAGAATTAAACTCAGGACCTCACGCTTGCCAGGCAGGCACTGTGCCACTGAGCTATCCCTAGCCCTTGAGGTATATTGTTAAGTTTTTCTGGCTTGCTCTTTTTTTCTGATGTTGGCCTTCACAGCTATACACTTCCCTATTAGGGCAGTCCTTGAGACTCAGATTCTGGTATGTTTTACTGGAATTAATCATTTACGTCTAGGAACTGTCTTATTTCTTCTATGACTACTGTCTTCTAATCTCTAACCAGATTTAGTCTTAGGTTAGTCTTCTTAGTGTTCTCTAGTAATTGTTAAATGAATTTTCTTACTCTTTTTTTCTTTTTCTAAGTATTTCATCATGTTTCCACTTTGTCCTAGAGGTCTGAGACCCATTGCTCACCTTGCTCATTTCTACTGTTCAACAGCATTTTTTTCCTAATCTCTGAGATTTCTGTGTGGCACCTTTTCATGGAGTCTTACTTTTTTTTTTTTTTCTTTAAAGAGAAAAAAAAATAAAGTTTCAAAACAAGATAATAGGAGGGTGATAATGGTTAATACATTGCATATTGTTATCCTTAAATTAGTTACTCAGAGTACAAGATATCAGCATTTAATTGTCCAAACAATGTTAGCGCAAACCTTTCTTTTCAATGAATTAAGAGAAATTAAGAGTATAACTATCTTAACTATCATATATATAATTTTCTTTCTTTTTCCTTTTCCCTTCCTTCATTTTTCCATTCCCCCATCCCAGTTTCTCTTTCATTTTGAAGTTTCTTCCCATTTTACAATACCTATTGTACATTTTGGATCTTACATACTTTTTAAGCTTCTCACACTAGGGAGAAAATATGATGTTTACACATGTGCTTCTGGTTTATTTCACTTACGAGTATGGTCTCAAATTGTATCCCCTTACCTGTAAGTGTCTCCACTTTATCCTTATGGCTGAGTAGCACTCCATTGTATAAAATGACATTTTTTTATCCATTCCTTTGTGATGGGCATTTAGGTTTTTCCAACATCTATTACAAATTGCGCGACTATAAAAATTGGTGCACATATGTTGCTGTGGTACAGTATTTTTAATTCTTCTGGGAAGATACCCAGAAAGGGAATAGCTCAGTCAAATGGGACCTCCAATCCTAGTTTTCTGAGGAATCTCCACACTGATTTCCACAGTGGTTGCACCAGTCTACATTCCTAACAACAGTGGAGGTTTCCTTTTTCCCCACAGCCCTTCCAGCATTTGTTATTGGTTGATTTCAGGGTGATAGCCATTCTTTCCAGGATGAGATGGAATCTCAGTGTTGTTTTAATTTGCATCTCTTGGATGACCAGTGATGTTGAACATTTTTTCATGTATTTATTTGCTGTTTGTATTTCTTCATCTGAGAAGTATATATTCATCTCAGGTGCACATTTTTGGATTGGGTCTTTAAATTTGGAGGATCTGATTTTGAGTTCTTCATACATTCTTGATAGTAATCCTTTATCTGAGGAACAGCTGGCAGACATTTTTTCCCAGATTGTAGTTTGTCTGTTCACTCTGCTGATGCTTTCTCTTGCTATGCAAAAGCTTTTTAATAGGATGAGATCCCAGTTATTGATTCTTTATGACATTTCCTGTGTGATTGGGTTTTATTCATAAAGTCTTTGCCTATACCAATATCTTTAAGAGTTTTATTACCTATTTTATCTTCCAGCAGATTTAATATTTCTGTCTTAATATTTAGATCTTTGATCCATTTCAAATTTAGTTTAATGCATGGTCCAAGATATGGGTTCAGTTTTAATCTTCAGCATGTGCAGAGCCAGTTTTTCCAGCACCATTTGTTAAAGAGGCTGTGTTTCTTCCAGTGAAGGTGTTTGGCATCTTTGTCAAAGATACAGTGTCTGAATATGTCTGGAGTTGCTTCTACATCTTCTAATCTGTTCCATTGATTGGAGTCATTTCTTTGGTAATTTTGTAATGCATCATTTGAATAGTTTTCATCACCTCTTCTAATTTTTTATTCATTTATTTTTTTACACAGCAATATCTCTCCATTTATTTGTTAAATCTTTTGGAGTAGGTCATCTTCGAGCTTGCCGAGTTTGCTTTCTCATATATCATTTCATGTAGCTCAGCAATTTGGTGTCTGATTTTTCTCCCTATTGGTAACCCTGGAATCTGCTTTGAGAGAGTTGGGATTCTTCGAAGGCATTTTGTTGCTTGTTTTTTTTTTTCCTTTTAATTTACATTAATACATTAGTACATGTTTGTAATACATGAAGTTTTCATTCATCTTGGGGAGTAGGTGCAAGTATACAGCAGCTTTTTAAAATCTGTTTCCCCTTCCTGTCCTCTTTCTTCCCCCCTCCTCTAAATCTCCTTTCCCTGTTTTCAGTCTTACTATTTTTAACTTGCTTCCAGTAATAATGGTATAGCTTGGTCAGATCAACCCTTTTGCAAATAATGATATCATTACTATAAAAATATGCCTCCCCCAAAGAAGACTCAAAATTACTTGAATGCAGTGCTGGGTGATGAAGTGGGGACATGGTCTGGCAGGCAGTGGGTGCCTGAAAGATAGAAGGATTACTAGGTGAAATTTGTTTGTTTTGGCTGTTTTCCTGATAGCATTTATAGTTGGTGGATATGAAATGCAGAATGCTTCAATATTTACCAGACAGTCTGGTAAATACAAAATTTAATTAAATAAATTAAAATACATAGTATTTAATTAAATACTAAAACACTTTGAGGTTGGAAGAGTAACTGAAAACTTGGGTGGAAATCATGGAAAGGAGGCGGCTTCAAAAGGGGTGAGTCTAAAAATCTGTATTAAAACCTGAAAAAATACTCATTGTTTGACCACTGTGCTTGTAGAGGGGAAGTCTCTAGAAAACCTGGCAGTAAGCAGTCACTATTAAGATAAGAACACTAAATAGGTATTTCAGTTTCAACTTACTATAGAGGACATAAAATTTTGTTTGCTGTCAGCCAAGAGGCCTTTGAGAGAACTATCATAAGTTTTAAAGTCTTTATCATGTAATATTCGCTGTGTCTACTACCATAAATCTCCAATTTAGGAAAGAGCTCCATTCCGGGAGAATGTTTGTAATGAGATTTATTCATAAGCTTGACAAAGTGAGGCCTATACTGTATTGACTTCATCGACACAGCAAACATCACATGTTCCATGATCCTGTCCTTGTTCTTTAGAATTGCTCCAATGGCTGAACAATTCATGTTATAAGAACAAGCAACAGTCTGCCATCTTTTTGGCTTGGTCTGATCTCCCACTTGTTTTCACTTTTGTTTCTGTAGCTATTGCTTTGTGCTTCCTAGCAATCTCCTCTGCATCACCACTACTTTTCCTCTTGCTTTTGGACATCCTGGGCTTTGATTGAATACTGTACTACTGTACACTGTTGCACTGTACAGTAAGCACACAGCAGCACAGCCTTGACAATGTTTGGCAGACACTTGAGCTACTTTGAGGGTTTGTTTACATCTGTGAATGTTTATAATGCAAGGTCTTTTTGTATCGATGAAAGTTTACAACTCAAAGGTTCATAAGTCAGGGACTTACTGTATACAATAAAGATTACTACACAGAAAACTGGGGAAATGTGACCCATAGTCAAAAGAAAAATCAGTCATTAGAAACTGTCTTGAGTCACTGTGTTGTAGCTGGGACAAAACACCTCATATC